ACCCACGGGGCTACGGCGGGGGCGGGATCTGTGCCCCCAGCAGGTCGTAGGCGAAGATGTTCCAGAAGACGGCGAAGAGCAGGAAGGTGCCGTAGGACAGCAGCAGCACCCACCAGCCGCACTGGTCCTGCAGGCTCTCCTCGTAGCTGCGCAGGATGGTCAGCCCCATGCTGATGCCCACGATGGCCCCCGCCAGGTGCGCCATGAAGCTGGGCTGCGGGCCCGAGGCCGGCAGCGGCGGCGAGAAGCGGAGCCAGACGGCGCGACCGACCTCGGAGCTCACTGCGGGACAGGCGGGAGGCGCTGAGCCCGCGGCGGGACCCGCGCGGCCCGGGGGGGGAGCGGTACTCACTGCACACCAGCGCCAGAACCATCCGCAGCAGCTTGTAGGGACAGCGCATCCCGGCCCAGTTCTGCGGGACAGGGAGAGAGGGAGGATGAGGGATGGATGGATGGATGGATGGATGATGGATGGATGGATGGATAGATGGATGATGGATGGATGGATGGATGGATAGATGGATGATGGATGGATGGATGGATGGATAGATGGATGATGGATGGATGGATGGATGGATAGATGGATGATGGATGGATGGATGGATGGATAGATGGATGATGGATGGATGGATGGATGGATAGATGGATGATGGATGGATGGATGGATGGATAGATGGATGATGGATGGATGGATGGATGGATAGATGGATGATGGATGGATGGATGGATGGATAGATGGATGATGGATGGATGGATGGATGGATAGATGGATGATGGATGGATGGATGGATGGATAGATGGATGATGGATGGATGGATGGATGGATAGATGGATGATGGATGGATGGATGGATGGATAGATGGATGATGGATGGATGGATGGATGGATAGATGGATGATGGATGGATGGATGGATGGATAGATGGATGATGGATGGATGGATGGATGGATAGATGGATGATGGATGGATGGATGGATGGATAGATGGATGATGGATGGATGGATGGATGGATAGATGGATGATGGATGGATGGATGGATGGATAGATGGATGATGGATGGATGGATGGATGGATAGATGGATGATGGATGGATGGATGGATGGATGACAGGCTGGCACCAGTGATGCTCCAACACTGAGGTGGGGGCTTCAGCCAGAGCTCCATGGACCCCCCCTCATGTCCCTGCTCCTCCCCATCCCCACCCACCCCTGATTCCACCCAAGGTGGTCCCCCTGTGACAGTGCCACCCCTGCTGCCACCCACAGCATCCTCCCACCAACGCTGCCCTCCCACAGTGCCAGCCACCCCATGGCATCCCCCCATAATGTGCCAGCACCTTGCCCAACCTGCAGACAGTTCCCATCCCCGTTGTCACCCCATGGCACCCCCCACCATGCTGCCCACAGCCATCCCCCCTGTCCCCCCTCTGTGTCCCCTTGTCCCCTGGCTGACCATGACGACGTTGGCGAGGTGAGCAGAGCAGAGGGCGTAGACCCCCCCCGAGCCCCCCACCAGGGGGGCCCTCATGTCCGTGATGGAGACGGTGAGGGAGCCTGGGGGCACAGACAGGCCTCAGCATGGGGTCTCCCCCCACAGCATTAATTAATTACTGTCTACATTAATTAATTACAGCCTGCATTGCCCCCCAGCCCCCAGCCAAGTGATGCTGGCACTGCCAGCAGAGCCCCACCAAACTCGGCGTGCACCTCCCCGTGCCCTCACAGGGCTGGTGACAGGGGCTGGGGGGTGGGGACAGTCCCCCCAGGGCAGCACCCACCTGCCAGGACCCCGGCCAGGTAGAGGAAGCTGATGCGCAGGATGCCGTGCACCATCTCCAGGGGCACCCCGATCATCAGCTGCAGCAGGGCGTTGAACCCCAGCTGCTCCAGCCTGCCCGGGCACAGGAGGGGACAGAGGGGGCTCAGCCTGCGCAGCCCCCCGGCTGTCCCCCCGTGCCCCGGCAGGACCTACCCCACGTGCATGAACATGTAGGTGAGGAAGCGCCAGGCGCGTGCCCGGTGCCCGGGGTGGTAGACCAGGGGGCTCTTCATGTACTCGGGGTGGTAGGTCTGCAGCACCCACTTGTTCAGCCGGGCGCCGTAGCACAGGAACACGATGATCTGTGACAAACCCCGCGGCTGTCACCCCACAGTGAGCCCCACACGGGCACCAGGGTGTCACAGCTGGGGTCACCCATCCCCGCTGCCCCGGGGGCGAGTCACACGTGGGCACAAGGACATCACAAACGGGGTCCTCCACCCCTTCACCCCGGGTGTGAGTCCCCCAAGGGCACCAGGACATCACAGCTGGGGTCACCCATTCCTTCTACCCTGGATCTGAGCCCCTCCATGGGTCCCATCCTGGGCACACGAACACCACGACTGGGGTCACCCATCCCCTCTGTCCTGGGTCTCAGCACCACCATGGACACCAGGACATCACCACGGGGGTCACCCAACCCCTCACCACGCATCTGAGCCCCTCTGTGGCCACCAGAACATCCCAACTGTGGCCACCCACCCCCTCTACCCCAGCTCTGACCACCCACGTGGGCACAAAGGTGTCACATCCAGGGTCACACATCCCCTCAGGTCAGCACCAGGAGCTCACAACCAGGCTCACCCCCCTGCCCAGCCCGAGTCTGATCCCTGCCAGGTCCCGGCTATGCCCAGCTGGCCCCTGCCCGCACCTGGGTGAGGGTCACGGCTGCCATGAACACGGGGGGCGGGCAGGTGCGGTGCTGGTAGAAGTACCAGCGCCGGTCCATCTCGCAGGGCAGGATCTCGTAGGCCACGTAGCGGACGAAGCGTTTGTAGATGCCGAGGCCGGTCTCGTCCAGCAGCACGTCGCGGGGCAGCGCCCGCTGCCCGTTGGCGATGGCGCGCTTGAAGCTGCTGGAGCGCTTGCTGCTGATCTGCGGAGAGAGGCCGAGCCCGCGGGGGCAGCTCGGGACCCCCGGCCTGGGGCCACCCCTGCCCCGCCACCCCCCGCAGCCGCAGCCCGGAGGAGCCCCCGAGGCCGCGCCGCCCCCGCCCCTGGGCACCCCCGGGCACCGCCGCTCTCTGCCCCCCTCCCCGGGCACGGGGAGGTGCCCGGCGCCCACCCCGGGCTGGCACCCACCCCGTCCCCGCCGCCGCCCGGCACTGACCAGGTCTACCAGCTCCTGGTAGCAGACCTGGCCCTCGTCGTTGCCCTGTGCCAGGGCCACCAGCATGTCGAGCTTGGCGGGGTCCAGGGGCAGCTCATGGCTGTGCACCAGGCTGGCGAAGGTCTCCACGCCGATGAAGCCGGTGTTCTCGGGGTCCAGCTGCGGGCACGGCACGGAGCATCACCGGCGTGCCGCGGCTCCCTGCCCGGCTGGGGACACCTCCCGCTGTCCCTGGTGCCTCACGCCTGGCTCCGTGACGCTGTCCCTGCCTCCCGCAGCCGCGCCGGGCCGTGCCCGGTGAGGTGCCCCGTGCCACGCCGTGCCCCGTGCCGTGCCGTGTCCCCGTCTCCCCGCGGCGCAGCCAACACTCTCCCACTCAGTTATTTCTCGCCGCCAGCAGCCTGCCAGCCAGGAAGCCACCAAGCTAAACACACGCGCAGCCCTGGCACCAGCCTCCTCCTCTCCTCCTCCTCCTCCTCTCCTCCTCCTCCTCCCGCCGCCCTTGCCGCCGGCCGCTGGCATCCACCGCGCCCTGCCCGGGGCTCCCTGAGCCATCCTCGGCGCTCCCAGAGCCGGCCGGGCACCCCGAGACCCCCGGGACAGCGCCCAGGGACACCCAGCGCCACGGAGTGCCCGACGTGGGACGGCTCTTGGGGACAGGGAGCCCGGGATGGCACGGGAAGGTGGAGACGGGGACAGGGCACCCCCGGGCAGAGCACAGCCCCTGCAATCACCCTGGGCTCGTGCGGGGTTTGCTCCTTGCTCCTGCCGGGAGGAAATGCGGGAGAGGAGCCTCAGCCTCGTGGGATGAGCAGGAAAGGGAGCGCTTGGGACACGGGATCGTGTCCCCACCGGGTGGGCACCCTGTCCCTCCCTGCTCCCCCGGCAGGAAACAGCCACAGCCCCTTCCCCAAGGGGGTTTGGCTGCCCGGAGCGGGGAGCAGGGTGGGATGAGGGGAGGGGTGGGATGAGGGGTGCAGAGTGGGATGAGGGGAGCAGAGAGGGATGTGGGGAGCAGGGTGGGATGAGGGGTGCAGGGTGGGATGAGGGATGCGGGGTGGGATGAGGGGAGCAGGGTGGGATGAGAGGAGCAGGGTGGGATGAGGGGTGCAGGCAGCACTGCAACCTCTCAGCAGCCTGCCCCTGGGAACAGCCCCAGCCGCGGGGAACGGGAGCACCCGGGTGTCACCCGTGCCCCTGCCCCACAGCCGTCACCCCACGGCTCCACGTGTGTGTGTCACGCCGGGACCTGGCACACGCTGAGCCACCGGCCCCAAGAACACCAAGAGCCCTGTCAGCAGCCAGGGAGCCCCTTTCTGCTTTTGGGGTGCATCTCCCCCCACCCCAAACTCACTGGCACCCTACGAGCCCCCGGTGGGGCCCAATCCCCAGCCCAGCCCCCCCAGCACTGCTCGTTCCCGGGGAAGATGCCGCTGGTTCCTGAAGAGCCCGGGTCCACATGGAGTCCCTGTGCCCGAGGGTGGGGTGACACGGGGGGCAGCACCGCGGCTCCCGGGCTGGGGGACTCAGCCAAGGTCACGGGAACAGCGGGGGGCGAGTGGGGGATCAGTTCATTTTCCTGATCCCCAAGGAATTCCTTCCCCGTGCCCAGGGGAGAGCGGCCAGCTGGGCCAGGGCTGGGTGGGGATGGAGGGACGAGGCGATGGAGCTCAAGGGGGGCTGGGGGGACCGGGGGCAGCGGGTGGAAACCCCTGGAGGCCCCATCGTGCCGCGAGCACAGCCCCACGCCGCGCAGCGCTGATGCTCCACGGCCTCATCCCGCAATCAGGTCACGGGGGTGGGCGCAGACCCCCGCCTCGCCGGCGGCGCCGAGCCCACGGCACCCCCGGGGCTCCCTCCGGCCCCCAAACCCCGCCGGGGCTCCGCGCCCAGCACCCCTCGTCCTTGAGGGCGCACGGGCAGGATCCGACCCGGCGCTGGCGGAGGGAGAGGCCACAAGTGAGATGAGCGGCGCGGTCTCAGCGGCACAGGGCGGGGGGGGCCCCAGGGCGGTGATGAGGGGCTCCGGGGGGCGCTGGCGGGGCTGGCACGGCCCCTCTGGCCGCCCCGGGTGGCAGCGCTGCCCGCTGCGCGCCAGCCGCGCCCGGAGCTGCGAGCAGCCCGGCCCCGGTAGCGACCGATGGCCGCTGTCCGGCGGCCCCCAGCGCAGCCCGGTGCCCCCCGAGCGGCCTCACCTGCTCCTGGATGAGCTGCAGCAGGGAGCTCCTGTCCATGCACCCGGCGGGCTGAGGGCTCCGCCGCTCCCCCGCGCCCGGGGCCGGCGAGCCGGGCAGGGGAGCGGCGCGGGCGGCGGGGGCG